AGAATTTCAGAGAAGGCTCTTAATGCTGAAAAGATCAATGATTTGAGTTACCTCCATGGTATCTGAACCAGAGAATGGCACTGCTAAGATGTTTACCCCAATAGACAACACCTTTAAAACACAGAAGTTTGTTGCATAAATTCTATTATGCTATTTTTAAACTAAATGTGTATTAACATGCAATTTTATAATAATCACTTTATTCCAGAGGCTGAAACTTGCATTTCACATCCTCAAAACACACAAGGCACAGCCCTTCTGCCTAATGCACACTGGGGAGCAGTTATTTTCAAGGTTTAAAAGCTCTAGGAAATATTGTCTTATACATCCCTATAAAAGGATGATGTATTACCTACAGCACTGTCCAGGAAACTGTCACATGATCACACTTAAATCCTAGAAATACACACACAGCTGTTCCAGCTACAGAACTGAGCCCTTGTCACCCATCATGAGGCAAGAGGGAGACCTTGAATCCACCCAGAACTGATTCAGCTGACTTACACTGACATACTGATTTTACATTTTGGCTTTCTACTGCTGCAACTCCATGTGTGCCAATATGAATCTGAAATCAGAGCTTTAATTAGAACTTCATAATTATGTGGGTCCAAAAACTTCTGCCACCCCCTGCTGTGTGAGCTGGTGTAAAAGACTATGGGATCACAAGGAAATGAGCTGGCTTATGCCTCGTGCTTTGGGAGCTCAGTGGAAGCCCAGGAATGTTAGTTGATTTATGTAGCTAGCACTCATTTCTCCTAAAAACAGTTCCCTAAAATTAAAGGGACAATCCGGACCACAGAATTAATACCTACAGCATAACAAAGCATTACAGAATGCACTCAAGATCTTGAGATTACACACTGAGAAAAAGCTGATGACATAAGGAGCACTAATTTGTGCAGTAACTTCCGAAGGGAATTCCTAGAAGTCCAGCACTTGAGACTTTAACCACTACTGATACTTCCTGCAGCATTTCTCCAACAGAGCACTCAGCACTTCGTAAAGATCTGTGCAGATTTGCAGGAAAGTACCAGACACTACAAATTCCATGTACATGGACCCAGAGCCAGGTATTTGGATCTCATGGTCTAAACAGACAAACAGGGAATCAAGAAGTGAGCATCAGAAAAGCTATCAAGTATTAAAACAAAAAACCCAACCCAAACCCACAGCGAACAGTCAGCTCAGCTGGTCAGACCAGGGTGCTGAGAACACCAAGGTTCTGTGTTCAGTCCCTCTGTGGGCCTTTCACTAACATTCCATGGCCCTTGTGGATCCCTTACAACCCAGAATATTCTGGGATTCTGGCAGAGCTTTGGGTGGTCATAGCGCTCACTGTCATGATCTCTCAAAGTAGCCTTTACTTCAGTTCATAGACTTTTATCTTTTAAAACACCAAAGCTAAATGGTTGATGGTTGTACAGGGTTTAATGACCTTAAATATTCAGAAGGTGTAAAAGGTGTAACAGCTCTTAGCACTAAGAGAAAAGGAACACAAAAAGCAAATGAGAAAAAGATGGACTGGCCTTTACCAGTCTGAACTACAGATTTGTGACACACAGAACACCAGAGTGAGCAGTTCTGTGTGGGGCAGGCCCACTGCCCTCCAGGCAGACACCTGAGAAACTGTTTTACAGCATGGCTTCACAGAGTGTGGAATTTACTGAGGCCCCTGGATACTGACACACTACAAACAGGAGTCCAGGAGGCACAGATAAGACCGGCTAATCAGCTGTAAGCAAAACATTTCAAATAAACAGCAGCTACAGTTATCTGAAAGCTGGCCACAGTAGGAAAAAAAATATACACCAAAGGAATAACCCTAATATTCAAAGAAAATAAAGGGTCAAGAGAGAAAGTGGAACCATCAAGAGGTAGTTTTTAAATAGGAATATCCATGGAGGCACAAGGAAATAGAAGAAAACAAACTAAAAACGTGGTTTGCTCTACCAAACTGAGAGTGACAGAAAAACTAAGCAAGAAAAGCTGAAGAAGGGAGGAAAAAAGCTCAGGAATCTGGGCAGAGACAAATTAAACACAGACAATTTCAACAGCACAGACTGTAAACCTAAGATTGCAAAAGGCCAAGAAGGGAAGAAGGCAAGGCAAGGAGAACAAAGAACACATTTTAGAAGACCAGGCTTAAAGTGGAGAGGCTGGAGTGCACAGAAATGCAAATATCTTATTAAATAAAATCAGAACAATATTTGCATATTTTTTGGCAAAAGGAGTCTAGTGACTGACCAAAAGCAGGAGGAATTTATGGAAAGAAAACACAGCTGGGGTTGGAATCAATTAGGCCTAAGGTGATAAGAAATAAAAAGAAGAGATGCATCAACACTAGCATCGGGATTCAATGAGGAAAAATCCTTAAGACAAATTACTTCAGGAAATGACGATGCAGAGATCCTGGGAACGGGCTCCCTCTTTCCCAGTGCAAACAGATCTCTATTTTCAAAGACTTTAAGTGGGAGGAGCCAACAGCGAGAGGATGGGAAGCATCTAACGCTACTTTAGCCGTCTCAACAGTTAAATCCTGATCCTGTAAATAAATAAAATATTTAACTTTCTAAACCCTAATGATTCAATTAAAATCCAGTGTAACACACACATTGGTATCGACAAACATAGTGGACATAAAACCACTCTGTCAGGAAAATACAAACACAAACAGGGCAGGACTTAAAACTACCAAAAGGAAAAAGGAGATTTAAAAAATTTAATAACCAAGAGGTCTAACAGGTCAGAGCCCACTCCCGGCACTGACCAAGGCTTCAAAGGGAAATTCAAGGAAACCTAACAGTTTATTCCAGAGCTTCCTCCCAGGAACGGCTACATGCCCCCACTCCGTAAACATAGCAGAATGCAATTCCTTCCCAGTATTCCCCAGACTGTAACACTGAAATTCTGGATACTGCCTTTGCCTACAGGACAGAACGCTCTTTTCTGGGGAACAGGAGCAGGGAAAGTCCAGCAGACTTCCAGCCTGTTTGCTTTTTATGGTAATTATTGTTACAGAACATATATCTACTAGGCACAAAAAAAAAAAAAAAATCAATTATTGTTTCTGTCAGCTCAAAGTTCCTGGCTTTCAATCGGAATTACTTATTGTTTACATTTCAAGGAGGGAGGGAAAAATTACGAAGTTCCTCTTCCCCTGCCTCTACGGTCTGTATATCGTTTTGGATATCTTTTACCACACTCGCTCTTAGTCGTCGCTTTTTTAAAGCGATTAACTCCACTACGCCGGGGTATTTCAATAACCACTGACAACTGCCGTCCCCTCGACGAAGCAGTGATCATAACAGAGCGCTGCATTTTGAGGCAAACAGTCTGTCCGTGCCGCCACCGCCTTGACAGCGTGCGCGGCTGTGGAGCCGCGGCCCCCGCCGCCTCCCTGCCCTTGTGACCGGCCCTGCCCGCGGCTGCCCCGCGCCAGGGGCGGGCTCAGCCCGGCAGTTCCCACTCCGCCGCTCCCGAGCGCCGAGCCGCCCCCCCGGCGGCCGCGGCACCGGGGACTCCGGGCCCGGCAAACTTTGCCGGGAGCTGCCCGGGACCGGGCCGGGCGAGGCGAGGCCGAGCCAGCTCCGGTGCGGGCCCAGGGCCGTGCGGGAGCCCCGGGGAGGCTCATTGTGCAGGAACAAAAGAAAGATCCTCACCGCACACGCAGCAGGAGAGGGACTGCCTGAAGTAGGGCAGGAGCTTGTTAATCTCGGAAAAGGACTGGGGGTCCGCCGGGTCGTAGTTGAGCACCAGGCGGCTCGCGGACACGTAGAGAGCAGTGGCATTCACCGGGTTCATCGCCGCCGCTCGCTGGCCGCCGGCTGCGCGGTGCGAAGAAGGTCTGCGCGGGCCGCGGGGGCAGGTGGCCCCGGGGCGGGGGCCGGCCGGGTGTCACCTTGGTCCGGGGCCACCTGGAGCCGCGCGGCAGCGGCGGCGGCAGCGCGGAGGCCGCGGCGGCCCTGCCGGAGGGGGCCGCGCCGGCTGCTCCTCCGCCTCCCGCGGGGGAGGCCTCGCTCCGAGCGGCGGCTCGGCCCGGGCGGCGGCGGCGCTACTGCAGGTCCCTGCGGGCCATACCCGCCCCGCCGCGGGGCCCCTGCTGCTGTCGGCGCCTCCCTCAGCGGCGGCCCGGCATGGCGGCGGCCGCAGGCAGGATCCGCGAACGGGCGCGGGGCGGCGGCGGGGCCGCGCTGCCCGATGCGGCGGGAGGGCGGCGGAGGCACCCGGGGTTCACCGCGGCCGCATCACCGCGGCGGCGGCGCCGCCTCCTGCGCGGGGCCGGTGGGCGCGCGGGCAGGGCCGGGCGGGCCGCGCGCGCTCCGCGGTGGCGCCGTTAGATCCGGCCGTCACTGCGGGGCCATCGCCGCCGCCCGCGCCGCGCATGCGCGCCCGCAGCGAGGCGGGGGGGGGGGGGAGGCGCCGGCGCCCTCTAGCGGCGCCCAACCCAGCAGAGGGGCCGCGCGCAGCGGGGCGGGAGCGGCGCGCGCTGCCTCGGCGCCCGCCATGGGCTCCGCGCGCCGCTCGCGAGCGGGGCCCCGCACAGCCCCGCGCGCCCCGCACAGCCCCGCGCGCCCCCGCCCCGCGCGCCCCCGCCCCGCCGGGTCTCGGCTTCGCCCCTCACGGCGGCCGCGCGCGGGCCCCGCGTCCCGCCCCTGTCATGGCGAGCGCCTCCGCTCGGCCTCAGGAAGCGGGCCCGCCTCTGCCCTCAGGCCGTGCTGGAACCTGCGGCCAGGCCTGTCAGTGCCTTGGGCTACCGGCCCCCTCCGCCAGCGCGGAGCGAGTCCGGGGACCTGCGGGGCCTGGCAGCTCTTGGGAGACGTGGCGCGGGAGCTGCGCAGCGCACAGACCCCTCAGGACATCGCCAGCCTCCCACACACGGCTCTGTGGACAGGAGTCTGTCCCAAGTGTTCCTGCTGGAGACCCCACGTATAGCACAGCACTGGATGCGCAGGCCGAGGGCAGGTATGACCAAGATATAGGCACAGGCAGGACTTCTGTAGAGGGAACTTGTTTTATTTTGTATGTAAGCACCACGGCCATTCCACAGACTTCCAGATCCTGTGTTGCAACACTATCCAGCAGCACTCTCCCTGCTTCTGTGTTTGGCGTTTTGGGAAACTGACAGGGCTGCTTCATTTTCCCACTTCATCGTCTGTGTTCACTTAGAGTTGCCCATGTGAAACTAATCAAGGAGTTCCACCTGTATATTTTAGTTCCTGGTTCACTTCATTAATCCCTTCAGTCTTTCCAGCCCAACACAAAATTACTGTACACACAAAATACAGGAATTTGGGTCTTGACTCCAAATCCTCATTTAGCTCTTGTGGTCCTCACCAAGCAGTTCATTCCCCACTTGGCACTGTTCCCACATGGCCCAAGTACATCTCCATGTTACCATGCAGCTCTACAAGGCCCTTCTGCCTCCCAGCAGACACTCAGTAGCCAGCTCTGGACTGTAATTCCTTGCACACATTGAATCCACAACCTGACTTCACTCCAAGGCAAAACATCTTCATTCTCACCCTCAGCCTGCTGTTACATTGCTTGTAAAATGCCCAATTCCTTCTTCAGTTTACTGCCAGGAACACCTTCTGTGCTGAACCAAGCCAACAGACTGAAATAACATCCAGCAAATTCCCACCATGTCCACATTCTCATACACACCTCCCTGTATCACATCCTCTGCCAAACTCTGAAAACTCTCAACCCCTCCCAGCTCCCTCTCATACTGCTCTGGCTCTTAGGCAAGGAACTTACTTGACACTCAACACCCAGAGTTTTACCAGTCTTGTCTAGTTTCTGGGATACACTCCTTTGAGGTATCATCCACAGGCTGGGATTCAGCAGTTGACAGCAGTAGGATTCCAGGGCCAAACCTCAATATCCCCATCCAGAGCATTAACCTGCACTATTCCATCACTCACTGATGGAGCTAAATGCATAGCTCTGGATTCCACCTAAGAACAATTGCAATCCTGGCAAGATAGATAATATTAACTCTCCTAACTACAAAGAATTATTGCTCTTGAAAATCGTGGTAATAATAGAATATGAAACTGCAAGAGTAGCAAGACTCACTAGGTCATACCTTTTAGACCAGAGGAAGGCCATAGTGCTTTTCTTTCCCCCATTATTGCTGGCTGATCTGCTGAATTTCACTTTTTTTCTATCCAGACCCTTGAGTTCATTTCCAATACAGCAGTCCAAGCAACAGATATAATTTTTCTTGCCTCTGTTGATCATTTGTTCAGTCTGTCAGCATCACTATCCTGCTGGAGGAGTCCTGCTGCCCCAAGAGGGTTAGGGCCTCAGCTGTTTGTGACCACTGGGACAAGTGGTGTGGTGACAGTAACTGTGAGGGGTTGAGGGCCCCCTCCAGCTCTGCAGCCTCACTGTCCCAAGGGCTGGCTCAGCCCTGATGTGCTGCACCTGTGTGAGCCCCATCAGGCTGCTGAAAAACAGCCAGGTGGGGAGAATTTCCACTTGAGCTTTCTCTGCTGTGCCTCAGGAGCTTCTCTCAAGCATGAGAGCTGGTCTTTTGCTGATCCCTGATCTGTGTCTGCCCTGCTGGCTGCCTGCTTTGCCCTTGGGCCTGCTCCTTGCTGCAGCTGGCTGCTGCTCAAGGCCTCACCCTTCTTGCTGCTGGTGGCCCTGTTCTCCTCATTCAGGTACTGTGGGACTCTTTCTTGTAGTTGGTACCACTTCTTTGTCTGCCTTGCCTGTACCTCCCTGGCTCACCTTTTCCCCTGCAGCAGCCCCTTTGCTGCTCCCTTATGCTAACAGTGTTGTGGGACCAGTCTCCTGTCCTGGCCAGTGGTAGGTGCTTAAGTGCTTAACTTTGAACAAGCACTGAAACACTCAATAAACCATTAAGTAATTCTCCTTGTAGTTTAACTAGAAAATAAGGGTGAAAAAAAAATGTTATTTCATTTTCCCATTTCTATCACTGCTCTGTGTTTGGGAAAAACTAGACTCCTTGTTCAGATTAGGTTAAAATAATGCCTATTAACTCTGCTAAACACAGATACCTGTGTTAATGGCCCAGGTCCTTGGCTGATAGTTTCTGAGTCTTCCCTACAGCACTTGAACGGAATAAACATTTAGCCATCAATGAATAGTTCTTCGTAAATGTGTATTAAAGAACATGAAGTGTTCAGTTGTTAAATTCCTTCTGCTGTGGAAGTGGTGCATCCTAAAATGTCTGATAGCTGCAGCACTGCATCTTTAAGGGAAAGGTATCAGCTAAGTAAAAAAAAAAAAAAATACAGGTCAGCACATAGACTGCCTCTGAAAGCTTGGATGTGAATAAAATGGTGAGGCTTTCTTGTTTTGTCAGGGAGCTTGTTTTTTCTCTCAGCTGGCTGCCAATGGCAAGCTTGTTTCTAATTGCTTGCTTGTTTGACTTGATGTAGGCTTCCTTCTGTGTCACTGCATTTTGAGTATCATGACTAGAGGCAGGCTAAGACCAGAGGGATTGTAACAGTTCCAACAACACACTGTTTTCTGGGCTGATGCTATTAATGAATTAACAAAACAAATAGGGAATCACAACAACTGCAGAAGAAAGGAACAAGAAGCATCTCCCCACAGCTTCTAAGAAAGACACAGATTGATTTTTGCTAGGAAGCACTCAGAGGAGCTCGGGATGGCTGTCACAACCCTGCAAAGCCTGTGGCTCTTTGTTGAGTGACCCATGGCTACCTGCTCACCCTTGTTACCATCCCAATGAGACACAGCTGCAGAGATCACTCCTGCAGCACAAGCTGCACCCATTCCCTTGTTTGTGCCTTTTTAATTTGCCTTGAATTTGTCTCATAGGATTGTCCTTTTAAGTTTTGTAACTTAAAAGTTAAAAAACTTAAAAGTATCCAGCAGGTGTCCAACCATGACATGCCTTGGGAATCCTGGTAAAGCAGAGCATACTGGTACTCCCAGTCCATTGGTTTTGCCTCCCTTTTATATTCATGAACAAAGCATAGACTTGACCACTATAACAAATTTTCACCTCAGTGTTCAAAACTATTATTTTACATTGTTCCAGAGTGGCCATGCTTTTTAGAAACATATTCGAGTTGCTTACTAAGCTCTTACCAACATCCCTCTCTGAGAATTGCTGCTTTTGTTTTGAGAAGTTCACACCCACAACACCAGAAACATCCTTTTTTTGATTATAGGAGTGGTTGCAATGGCCCTTTTATTCAAGTTCACTTCCACATATGATAAAGCCAATTTCTGCTTTTTTTTTTTGGGCCTTTTATTTTTTGCAAGTGGCTTTTTTTTTTTTTTTTTTTTTTTTGTGGGAATGAAACAAAACAAAAAAGGTATCTCCATTATCAATCTTGAGACCTGGAATAGTGCAGTAGAATTTGTGTCTTTACTGGTAGGAGGAATTCCTTGTTCTAAGCCAGAACATTTCTTATTTGTTGTTGGATGTTGGAATATTCAATGCTGTACAGTTTTATAGCAGCACCTGTTAGATCCACCAGTTCTTTGTAACTATGAGGTTTTGTTTGTTTGGTGTTCTTTGGTATTTTTTAACCATCTACTGCTTTCAGAAACACCCAGCAAATAATCAGGAATCTATTTCGTGGTTTGGAGTCACAAGGACCTGGGAAGGAATATTTCTCAACAATTTTAAGGTCCTCGGGAATCTCAGTACAACCCCTACCCACTACATCACTATTGTTAAGGGGTTTGCTTATTATTCTCCACAAGCCAGTCCCCCACAATTCATTTACTTCATTTGGGTGATATATTTGAAGGGAATTTTCATAGGATGAATTTGTAGGGCATCTCCTCCAGCATTTATTGTTCAGCACAGCTTTCTCTTTCAGTTCTCCCAGCCCTTCCCCAGTTTGAACCAGGCTAGTGGGTGTAGCTGCAATAGCTTTTCTCCAGCTGTGTGAGAATGTCTGGCCTAAGAATTGTTGTATTTGAATCAGCATCAAGTATATGCATTTTGCATATCATATTTGATCTTTGGTAATCAAATTCCTCCTGTTATTAAATTGTATAAGCAGAAGTCAAGAGGTACATCTGTGCAACTCGGGTAAGATCAAATCCCTCTTTCTCAGTTATTTTTGCCTTATAGTTGTACTTACATGAACCATGTGAGTGAACTTTATGTTGCAGCTAATGAAAAAAATCTGTTTAGCTTACGTTTCAAAAGTGTCACACAGATTCCCAATATGCATCTCAGAAGCATAGAATGAGGGTATTGATAGAGCTCACAGCAGTCCACCTCTTCACTGAAGCTGTTGATGTTTTTCTGATGTTGCTGAACAAAGAAATTAAAGTTCTTCTCTGGATATAGAGTTGTAGATCCAAAGACAGCTGTTGCTTGTTTAAGCTGGGGGTTCTTGTTGGTTTCCATGTGCCAGGAGGCTCCTGTGCCCTCTGTCAACTCGGCTGAAGTACCACTCTACTCGTGCTGTAGCTCTTACACTCGTTTGCCAGCTCAGGTTTGGGAGGGGCATGTGAGCAAGCTCTGCATTTGCATAAATTAATTGGCATAATTGAACTGGCTGTTGACTTTTGCTTCCAGGAGCATCATGCTCTTCCCTACTGCCCTTTGAGCTGTGAGGTTGAGAAGTACTACAGAAACTCGCACAGGGAGCTGCTTATTCAAAAAAAAAAAAATATCAGCTTAGTGGCTTGTTTTACTGTTACGACTTAAGCAGGGATATTCTGGCCCTTCTCTTTTGTGGCTTACCTGTAAGCGGGACAGAAGAGCTTCTGGAAAACACTGGCTTTACTTGTTTCCTTAACTGCTTTGTTCCCAATCCAGACAAATAAAGATTACTGTGACTTCCTAAAGGTAGCTTCTTAGATCCATATGTCCTCTGTGCACCTCTTTTTTTACTGGAGTGTTTCTGGTGTCCTGTACTGAGAATTCTTGTGCCTGATGGCAGAGAGATGGTTAATCCCCATGGTGCTTTTCCTTATTCTGAAGCTGTAAGACTACAACTACATCTTTCAATAGGTCCTTTGTAGTGAACAAACACTTCATCGTACTCAGAGGTGTTCTGACAGGCTTTTTTAAGAAACCACTACAGACTGATTATTTAGCTGTAGCAAACAGAATGAAGTTCTCCTTTTAACAATGCAATACTAGTATTTGATAGTTGATTAAAATATGTAATTCATAGAGTATCTTACCGAGACAATCTCATGTTGTACAGCATGTCTGATGCAATCACAGCAGTTGCTTCTGGCCTCAGTATCTATAAATCCAGTTTTGGAGGAGATCTGCTCCTTTGGCGAGTGCCCAGCTCATCTCTGATGTGGGCTGTGAGCCTGGTCTAAACTTGTGCTTCCAGGAATGCGGGAATTTTGTCAGAACAAGACTCTCACTTTGGAACAGCCCAGAGCAAATAGAGATGATCTGGGATTAGCACTAAATAGTTGAGCTGACTCTGAGCCAAACTGCTAATGCAGAAATGCTGGTTCAACTCTGCATGTATTCCAGTTTAATTTGGGTTTAGGGATTATCCTACCATACATACAAGAAGAATGTACCTCTTATACACCTGAGTTACCCCTCTGATTTAAACAGATCAGCTGATTTTGACCTTGGCTGGTTCTCTAAAGGAATACAAATTTGATAATGGAACTGGGTTTTATTCCCTGCTTCTGTTTACCAAAACCAAGCAGAAATTACTATTTGACTGAATATAAAAAAATTTAATGTCAGGAGACTGTTCTCTCATGGTTTAAAGTCCTCTTGTAACTGAATTTGGCCTCAAGATACTTGCTTCTCTCTCACTGATTTGCATTGTGGGAGCTTCTTGAGAAACTGCCTGGAGAATTTTCAGTTTCTGATGCATCCTTGGGACAATCTCTAGCTTGACAATTCTAACAATATTGAACTGTACGAATGACTGTCAGAACTGAGTCTAATATCCCACTTCCAAAAGCAGGCAGTGACAAATATGTGGGGAACATTAATAATACTGTAAGCATGTAGTTATATTTTCCTAGCATAGTCTTCCAGCAATTTGTGTCTTGGGGACCTATAGAGAGACTAGCAGCTCCTTTCATTTTATATTCTTAGGTAGATTCCTTCTCCATTAGTGTGACCATTACCTTTTGACTCTTTGGCTGCTATTGAAAACGGAGCTGATATTTTTGCAGGGGTATTGTGAACTTGTTCCTTTTGTGAACAAATAGATATTCTTAGGGTTTGGTTTCCCCCAGTGCATCTTAACACCCAATTACATTTCTCTCTGAGCCCTATGAAGTTAATTCCTTTTAATCCATTGACAACTTAGTTTCAAGAGCTCCTAATCAGGGACATTCTCAAAGGCCTCTGGAAGTCTGAGTTCCTATATGAACAGCATCTCCATTTTATATGTTTGACTCCACTAAATAAGGCCACTAGATGTGGCAGGAATCTCTATACAAAATCTCTGCCAACTGCTCCCCCATATGTCCTGTTTATATGTTTGCTAATACTGGGTTTTGTGGGTTGGTGGACTTTTTGGCATTTTGCTTCATAATCATATTGGATTTACAGGTTTAAAGTTTTCTTAGGTCCCCCTTAATGCCAGTCTTAAAAACTTGACATTGCACTAGCTACCTGCCATAGGCGTTTTTAGCAAGAGACTTTAAATTTAAGCAAGTTATCTCTGAAGGACCTTATAACACTGGGGTGAAAACAGTTTGCTCCTGAAGGATTTCTTCTATAACTTAATCTTCTACTCTTTCGGGGTGAAACAGTACCTTCAATGTACCCAGTAAACATTCAAGTAAAAACCCAGGAAAACCAGGCTTTTTAGCTAAGAAATCTTCTCAAGTTCCTTTGCACTGGATTCAGATAAAACAAACCAAAAAAAAAAATTATTTTTTCTGTTGGATAGTCTGAACAATCCCTTTAATCTTGGCTTGTCTTATTGCCAGAATCTCTGGCGTATGTCCTTCTTCTCAAGTATTTGAAAAATAATTCACTAATATTCATACTTCCAGCAAGTTGCTCCTAAAAGTGTTTTTTAGCCTCTTCACCCTGTTTTTTAATATGTAACCTGCAATTCTTGACAATTCTATCTCCCCTTCTACTCTTCTATTGGGCAGAACTTCAACTATCCAAGGAATGTCCTTTTGCCTCTGCTGGCTCTCCTTGCCATGCCAGCCTTGTCTTCCAGGATGGAGGGTTTTTGAAACCCCTTTGTTCCCAGAATGCAGATTTCCAACCTCTTTTGCATGTGACCCATGTTCTGAATAGTGTTTATTTTAATTTCTGAAGTTGCAGAGTTGCTCTTTTAAGTGAATTTTTAATGAAGAAGGTATTGCAGGCATCCTGGGTGATGCTGAACCCACCTGAGGGGGACAATGGAGACTTTTGCTTCAAATATCTGTGGTCTGATTTCTCCCTGGGCTGTTTTGTGACTGGGAGAAACTTCCTGAGTGGGGAGGGTGAAATGCCTGTTTGACTGCTGCCAAGGAGCAGCTATCTCACAGATAGGTCAGGAATGCAGCTGGCATCCTGCAGCTACTCTGGCTGGGGGCTGAAACAGCCTCCTGCTCAGCAGTGTGTGGGCTGAGCTACTTGGTGCCTTTCTTGTCCTGATCTTCATTGCCAAGATCTCCCAGCACCTTTGTGCTTGCAGACAGGGCTCAAGGAGAGGCCTCCTGTGGTTGGGGTGGTTGAGACAGCAGCTGCTGAGAAAGTTTGACACATTCAGGGGGACCAGACAGGATGACCCAAGTGGGTGGAGAGTTGGCAGGTGTTTTAGTGAGGCCACCATTATCTTTGAAAGGTCATGGAAATCAGGGAGATCCCTGATGGCTGGAGAAAGCCTGGGGTTACTCCCATCTACAAAAAGCCTGGGACTGTCAGGTGATCCCCCTCAATTTGGTCTAGGAGGAAAGCCATGGCACAAGCGCTCTTGGCTGCCTTTTGTGGTCACATGGAAAAGGTGATTGGGAATAGCCAGCATAGATTAACCAGGAATAAATTGTGTGACCAACCTCAGTGCCTTCTAGTGACAAAGTGAGGTTCTGTGGATGAAGAAAGTAGTGCATGTCAGGTGTCTTACCCTGGGAGAGGTTTCTGACAGACTCTCTTGCTATACAGCTGTGTCTAATCTAGCACATCATGGTGAGGAGGGGCAGTACAATGGTGAAGGGCTGGAGCACTTGCCCCAGGAGGAGAGGCTAGGGCACTGGGCTTTATCTTTGTTAGCCTGGAATGGGGACTGGGCTTTATCTTTGTTAGCCTGGAGTGGACACTGGGGACATCCCTGGCAGCTGCTTTCTGGTACTGGATAGCCTGTGGCTGTCACTTCCTGGCTGAAGTGCACAGGCAGAGAACAAGAGGCAGCTGTCCTAAACTGAAACTGGGCAGGTTGCTACTGAGTAGAATGGGCTGGGGGCAATGAGTTCCTCATGGAGCCAGTCAGGCACTGGAACCTGGATTGGGACAGGTGTGCCAGCCTCTGTCCTTGCAGACTTTTAAGATCCAACTGACAAAAGCCCTAAGAAAACTGGTATGAATTCAGTGCTGAGTCAGTTTTGAGTAGGACGCTGGACTGGAATCTGAGAGCCCTTTCAAAATGAGTTATTGTACAACAGCTTGTACATGCTATATAAACCAAGAATTTCCATTCTTGGAGATTCCTCAGACTTGCGGTATCTACAGGGCCATGCTCGTGCATTTCATGTGTGGTATGTGCACGCTTACGGCAACACTCACCTCGCCCTACTTGGAGCTGGCCGGTGGTTTGTTGGTGGTCGGTGTCGGAGGCCTACAGGGGTAACAAATGATCTGCTGCACAGATGGCTGCGCCTGCACACTGGAGAACTGCCTGGGAGGCGATGACATCAGATCTCTGGATTGCGGATACACTGCAGCTCGGGCACTCGCTGTGTGCGCTGTGTATTCCCCGCACGTCCTGGCCCACTCCCTTCTTACGGGGTCTCGATTTGCCTCCTCCGTCCGAAGGTGTGCTGTGATAAGAGCCACAGTGCCTCTTCATAGGAGGCGGCAGGGAATCGGTGCCGGTGTGTCACAAGGACACAGTATTTGTTTTCCTAACAAATACTTTCTGGCATTTGAAACAAAGAGAGTACAGCTAATCTTGCGAGCTGACACCTCTGCTTGCCTTCCCCACTTCTGAAGCGCCACAAATGTCTCCGCCACGCAGGAAAGGGGGAAAAGCTGATGCATTTTCCCGCTGGTCTCTGCGCACAGGCAACAGCGATGAACAATCTGGCCGCGGAGGACCGGGCTCAGGCAGCGGCCCTGCCCGGGCCTCCCGCAGCCGTGTGCCCGCTCCGCCCGGCCGCAGCCGGACAGGCGGGCGGCGGTGCGGGCCGGGCCGGTGCGCAGGCGCAGCGCCGGGACATGGCGGCCGCGCGGGTGCTGCGGCGGGCGCTGCGGCTGTGCCGGGGCCGCGCCGCCTCGGGGACCGGCCCGGCCGCCGTGCCACAGCGCATCGAGGAGAAGCGCCGCGCCGCGCTGCTCGGCGGCGGCCAGGCCCGCATCGACGCCCAGCACAAGCGGGTAAATCAGCAAAGGTGGCCGGCGGGGACGGAGCCCTGTCCCGCTGCCGCCGGGAGCCCGCTCGCCGGGGAGGGCAGGCCGTGCACGGCGGGGCTCTGCTCGGCTCTGGGGGCTCGCGGGTACGCGTGGCACCTGCAGACTCCGCTTTGTGCAAAGCTTTCCTCAAGTAGCGCTTAAGACTGCATTGCCTGTTGCTCTGTAGAAAAAAAGGACAATTGCTTTACCAATTCCTTTACCTCAGAGTGGTCACCGAGGTTGGCTGCAATATGTATGAGAGGTAGTGTAGACAAAAGTTGCAACTTCTGCCTGTCAATGTATGGTAAGTCAGTTCCAGATTGCTTAACACTTCTGAGCAACAACTTGGTCTTCACACCGCTGTTGCAAATTTGAGCTGATCTCTGAGACGAGAGCAAAGAGTTAGAAGAGTGGAGATAAGGCAGAGGACAAGACATGTGGGAGGGATGACAGCAGGCGGGTTTTTTGTCTCCTGCCTCTGTCGTTCAGAATGTAGGCAGTGCTGATGGGGGTGACAGCAGAGGTTTCCTGTTTCTGTTTATTTGCATTTTGCTGGGACCACTTTTCAGTGTGGTGCAAGGTGTCAGGTGGTTTGTAGGCATCAAGGAGGTGGGAATGGCAATTCCCATGAAGGCTCCCTCAGTGATCAGTCTGTCTGTCAGCTGTGTCCCTCCCCAGTTATACAACACCTGAAGAGAGTTCAGTCTGGCTGAGTTACATTCAGGACACTGACACATCCATATACAAGCACTTCTGCATGTCTAAGGCCTCAAACAACTTATGTTTTATATAAACTAAAACTTTGGCTTATGTTAGGCTTTCCTGCATTTGCTGCTTTTCATGAGCTTTTTTGGCCTACTGGTCAGATATTTTGTAGAAGCTGAGCTGTGTTATAATGTCATGTTGATATAGGGTCACATCATCCCCTAAAGGAGACAGCCCTGCCCTTTGCAGATAGATGCTTACCATGATTGGAAAGAACAGATTTGTTTGTTAGGTTAAGATCTGAAGAACTTTGCAGTCATTTTTTACTACATAACACTGACCAAGGGACATGTGTATCTGGTCAATTCTGTTCTTGGTCTTTACCTTGCTTTTGCCTGTAATAGTGTCCAGCAGGAAAAAAACAGAAGGATTTTGTCAGGAGATCTCTGCAGGCTGGGGATCACAATTCCTCTTCCCTCTTATTTACTGCAATCAAATAATATTTGAGCGGGATGATTGAAACCTGGGCTCTTGGGGAGGACTGATCTGGCTGTGGAAGGGTTCCCTGTTTAAGAATAGAAAAAAGGCCTTAGTAGCAGCATTTAAATGTGTAGGCAGAAATAGCTGTGATGCATTTATTCTGTTGAAAAGTCTCCAAGATTGTTTCTTTTCTCCTGTGGTAGTGCTGCTCCAACAGTCAGCCTCCTTTTCAGAGTCTGGCTTGCATTAGGTTTGTTTCTGATGATGATAATCACTGCACAGGCTATTTCCAGCCTTAGGGGCCTGCAGTTGCTTAATGGACCCTGTGTAGCAGATCAGGTGAGGTTTTGCTTGATTAAACTGCATCTGCTGGGGGTCAGCAAACAACCAGAATCACCTGATGGCTCTGTTAATTGTTGCTTGCTCTGTTTCAGGGAAAGCTGACAGCAAGGGAACGAATTCTGCTGCTGTTGGACCCTGACAGTTTTGATGAATATGACATGTTTGTGGAACACAGATGTACTGACTTTGGGATGGACTCTAGTAAGAATAAGGTAGTTTTATGTCATATAACTCTTGTTTCAGAGTCCTCTGCTGTGCAGCCAGCCCACTGGTTGAAAATGGGCTCTTCTATTCACATGTGATTTTTACTATTAGTTTTCTTTTTATATATAATTTTATTTTGTAAATTTTATGTTGCTACTCTGTTTCCATTTAACAGTTTACAGAGTTTTCTGTTGTCTACACTTGATACCTTTTTTATAAGGTCAATTGTTTGGTTCAAATAACTGCCTGGGAATTGTCTTAGATTTGCATTTTAAACAGTAGAGGAGGCTGCAGAGCTTTGTTGGTGCAATTTTGTCAATCAGATCAGATACAACGAACAAATCAAGGTAAATACTTCTGCTTCCCTACAGATAGGATTAGAGTTACTGGGTGAAACAACTCAGATCTATATTTATGCCTGCCAAACTACAGTCATAAAATCCTTGAGGGCTTCACAATCTCATCTGGATGTTTGGGAGTCCCAGCATTTGTTAGCCATTTGCACCCTGCTTGCTAAGGCACTTTCTGGGTATGTGGTCATGTATCCTAAACCAACATGGTACAGGGAGTTCCACGCAAACAGGGAAAATCTGTGGCTTCCCAAAGTATCTCACCATAATGTTGATGCCTGATAATGTTCTACCTGAGAAAAGTGTTCTGCTGTGGTTTGGTAGATAGAAGGGACCAGTGAGCTGCTGGGATGTCAGTGGCTGGTGCTGATGTGCTTGTTCACTGTCAATCTCCCTGCAGCCAAAGGTTGTTTGCTGTGGGTTGTTGGTGTAGGGTGAGGAGCTGCTCTGTGTGTGCCCTGTGCTGCACACAGTGACCACAGCTTCTGCTTGTGCAGTTCTTAAACCAGTTCATTTGGTTTCAGTCCTTCAGGTTGTAGGATTGCAGCCTGTGGATGAGGGGGGGGACAGCAGGGTTCCAGCAGGAATGCTGGGAATGGCAAAGGTGAAGGTTTGTTTGTGGTGTTGGAGGGGAGGCTGATGATACTTGGTGCTGGGAAGGATGTTGTGTTAGACCTCCTCCCCTGTCAGGGGATAGGAGAGCAATCATCTTTTTTCTTCTATTTTTTTTGCTCTGTTCCCCAGCAAACTCAAATAACTGCCTGTGTTACCTCTCATTTAGTTACTCCATGCTGCATCTCTCACGCATCTCACACTGTTGATAACCAGTTGCTGCTCCTCCTATTTTCAGAAACAGCAGAGTCTTGAGTGTGACAAGAGGGTTAATTTTTTCCCTTGTGCTTCAGATTTTACCCTTCAGTGAGCTGCAGATTATGTTTACAGAGCACAGTTTCACAACAGATGACCTAACTGTGGCCACTGAGCTGGAATATTAGTTTAACATTGAATTTCTCAGAGTCCCTGGAACTTTCTGAGGGTAGGGTAGGATTTGTGCTCACATCCAGGCTGCCCTGTGGGCTGCTGGGGCTTTTGGAGTCGCCTGCCTGTGGCAGTGGCTGAAATACAGGTGTGTGCTGCTGTTCTGTGTGCCAGGGGCTGAGAGCAGTGCTGTGTGTGCAGCCTGAGAAGAGGCACCAACAGGTGTGACCTTCCTGATAACAGACCACCTGGGCATAAATAGTCCTTAGCATGGGCCCTGCACCACATACTTCCATTTTTCCTTTCCTTTTTTTTTTTCTTTTTTAATACCAAACAACAAAAAGCATTTCAGTGCCTGAAATTCCCTTTTTTACTGACAGCCCAGTAAAGTTCCTTTCCTCCTGTTGTCTTGAAAGACTTCTATATATTTTCTTTACTAGAAAGTGATCCAGTATAGATGAAGCACATTTTAAGACTCACAGGCTCCATTTTCTTGGCCAGTTTTTTCTTCCCTTATTTACAGGGTAAAAAATGGGACAGGACAAGCTCAAGCATTTGAAGTGACTGTAATTATATTTTTGGACCTGTCCAGGGTTACTGTTTGTCTGTTCTTTCAAAAACATCAGCTGGTCCTGATAAAAGGTGCATTCTATCCTATCTCTGAAGGCATGATTTGCCTTTACTCCAGATGTACTAAATTTGAAGGGAAGCTGCTAAGTTCACTAATCTTTAATACATAATGAATATGTGATATTTTCACTAGTTTTTCATTTTACAGCTGGGGAGAATCTTTGTGGAGCCCCAACTGCGGACATAGAAGATGAGACTTCCCAGAAAATCAGTCTTTGCTTTGTCTTAGTAGGAGTTTGTGGGAATTTTAGTAGACATCATAGTTGCTTTGATTTTTCTATCTTCTATTTTCAATGAATTTATTATGTTTTTAATGCAGTATCCTGGTGACAGTGTGGTGACAGGCCGTGGACGGATTAATGGGAGACTAGCTTATGTTTTCAGTCAGGTAAAGTCTTACTTGTTCTTAAGTAGTCTGAACATATTTCAAAGGATAAGTTCACAATAGTTCAGCGTGGCCATGTAGCAATGTACCTGTGGGAGGAAGCAGGGCACCCTCAGACAAGAAGAAGCAAAAAATCATGTGATAGAGAGCATCTAAATAGATAAAATATACTTTTTATGTTAAAATACATTTTTTATATTAAAATAAAAGTATTTCAGACAAAACATCTTAGGTAGAGACTTATATTGGTCACTCACTGTAGAAGAAAGGCTTTCTTTCAGATCATTACTAAGTGCTGCTCTGTTTTGGGCCACAAAGTAGCCTTTGTTCCACTTGCTGTCATGGCCAAAGTGGCTGTTGCTGTGTTACCTTGGAGCAAGGCGTACACTCTGCCTTTTTGTCTTGGATGTGTGCTCCTTTCAAGGAGAGACACTATTACATGGGCCTGAACATGTGGAGAGGTGCTAA